ACAAGATGTTCTGGATCTGGTTACAGATGGTTATGTACCAGCTGCAGCAGATGCAACTGAAGAACAGAGAACTGCTGAGAGGTTGATGAGAAAGAGGGACCAGAAAGCTCTGTTCTATATCCATCAGTGTATGGGTGAAAATGTGTTCGAGAAGATTGTTGATTCAACAACGTCTAAAGGGGCATGGGATTTACTGACGAGATGTTACGATGGTGACGCATCAGTAAAGAAGGTGAAGCTTCAATCCTTACGAAAGCAATATGAGAACCTGAACATGAAGAGCAGTGAAAAAGTTTCTGAATATATCTCCAGAGTGATTCTGATCACTAACGAGATGAAGGTGTGTGGAGAAACTCTGACTGAACAGGTAATCATAGAGAAGATTCTGAGGTCGCTCACTCCTCAGTTTGATTACATTGTTGTTTCTATTGAACACTCTAAAAATCTGAAAACCATGAAAATAGAAGAATTACAAAGCAGCTTAGAAGCACAGGAGTTACGTTTGTCTGAGAGAACTTCTGAGAGAGAAGCTGAGCAAGCTCTGAAGGCTTCTTTTGTCAAGAAAGACCAGAAGCATAATAGACGTGGTGATAGATTCCAGAAGTCAGAAGCCTCAACTTCTAATGATAAGAAGTATCATAAAGGAAAAGAGAGGCATGACAAAAGGAAGGTTCAATGTTACTCCTGTAAACAATTGGGCCATTTTGCCAGAGATTGTAGGTCAAACAGGGATAGGAAATCAGAAGAAGCATATATGGCTAAGAGAAACTCTGATGATGAACCTGTACTGCTAATGGCCTCTGACTCTGATGGAAAATGCTCAGAAGATTGGTGGTATATGGACACTGGCTGCTCAAATCATTTAACTGGAAATAAACAATGGCTGGCAGACTTTGACTCCAGAAGGAGTACAAAGATCAGATGTGCTGACGATAAGTATCTTAATGCAGAAGGTATGGGAGATGTCATAATTAGAGTGAAGAATGGGAAAGACATTCTGATCAAAGACGTCTGGTATGTTCCTGGTATTAGAAGCAATCTGATGAGCGTAGGTCAGCTGATTGAGAAAGGTTTTTCAGTTGTTATGAAAAACAATCTTCTGACGTTGTATGATTCCAATCAGAAGTTAATTATGAAGTCTGAACAAGGAGGTAATAGAACATTCAAGGTGAATGTAGAAACAGCTGAAGCAACGTGCCTTAGTGCAGAAGGTGCTGAAAGTAACCGTAAGCTGTGGCATAAGAGGGTAGGGCACTTAAACTATAAAAGCTTAGGGCATCTATGGTCTAAGAAGCTCGTACGTGGTATTTCGAAAATTGTGAAGCCTGAGAAGTCATGTGAGATATGCATGAAAGGTAAGCAACCTAGATTGCCATTTACATCAGAAGTAGCCCCCAGAGCGAAACATGCTCTGGGAGTAGTACATTCTGATGTGTGTGAACCATTTCCAGTACCTTCACTTGGAGGAAACAATTACTTTGTGTCTTTTGTGGATGAGTTCACAAGAATGACATGGGTAACACTTATCAAATTCAAGCATGAAGTGTTTACTGAGTTCCAGAAATTCAAGGTAAAGGCTGAGAAGCAGAGTGGTCAGAAGTTAAAAATTCTGAGAATAGATGGTGGAGTTGAGGAAAGTGGAATAGAACATGAGGTTACTGCTCCATATACTCTTCAGCACAACGGTCTTGCTGAAAGAAGAAACATAACTCTGCTTGATATGACCAGAAGCATGCTGAAAGAGAAAAAGCTACCTCACGTGCTATGGGGAGAAGCTGTTGCCACATCAGCATACATTCTGAACAGGTGTCCAACGAAGAAACTGAAGGAAGCTGTTCCTTTAGAGAAATGGACTGGAGATAAGCAGAGTGTCAGTCATCTGAAGGTGTTTGGCTCTGTCTGTTACAAACACGTTCCAGAAGCTAGAAGACAAAAATTGGACGATATAAGTAAAATAATGTTGCTGGTGGGGTACCACAGTACAGGTGCGTATAAGCTTTATTATCCAGAAACTAATAAAGTTGAAGTCAGCAGAGACGTTGTGGTGAAAGAGTCTGAAGCATGAGATTGGAACAAATCTCAATCTGATTCTGGTGTAGTGCCAACACCAGAGTTATCCTCTGAAGATGTTTTAGAAAGATCAGAAGATCAATCTGATTCTGAAGATCCTGAAGATTCTGAAGATGAGTTAGAAGAAGATGATCCAGATACTGATGATGATCCAGAATCTGGTGGTAATCATAGTTCTGGAAGGGAAAACTATGAAAGTAGTAGTTCTGGTGCAACTCCAGAACAAGCTCAAAGACCACAGAGAATCAGATAAAAACCCAGAAGGTTTGCAGATTTTGACATGCTGCAGGATAATGACGTTGACTCTGAAGGAGAAGTCGTTAAGTGTACCATGTTAGTAGATTCGGAACCAGTAGGCATTGAAGAAGCTCTCAAGAAGAAAGAATGGCTTAATGCCATGAAATAAGAACTTGAGGCAATAGAAAGGAACAAAACTAGGAAATTGACTAAACTTCTAGATAAGAAAAAAGCCATCGGCGTCAGATGGGTTTTTAAGTTGAAACTTAAGCCAGATGGTTCCATTGGCAAGCACAAAGCTAGACTAGTAGATAGAGGTTTTCTTCAGAAACCTGGGCTAGATTATTTTGAGGTGTTTGCACCTGTAGCTAGGCATGAAACAATCAGACTGGTGATTGCTTTAGCTGCAAACAGAAACTGGCCTTTAATGCACCTGGATGTAAAGTCAACATTTCTAAACGGTCCATTACAGGAAGAAGTTTACGTGTCACAACCTCCTGGATTTGTGAAAAAGAATCAAGAAGGGATGGTATACAGGTTAAATAAGGCTTTGTATGGACTGAAGCAAGCGCCTAGAGCTTGGAATCTGAAAATTGATTCATTTTTCAAGAAGCAGAGGTTTCAGAAGTGTGAGATGGAATATGGAGTTTATGTACAACACTCTGATAGCAATATGATTCTGGTGTGTCTCTATGTTGATGACATCTTGTTAACAGGTAGTTGCCCAGAAGATATAAAGAAGTTCAAGGAAGTTCTGATGAATGAGTTCGAGATGACAGATCTAGGAAAAATGACATATTTCCTAGGAATGGAGATTATGTACTCGAAGAAGGGTATCATTCTGCACCAGTTAAAATATGAACAAGAACTTCTGAAGAGATTTAAGCTGCAGAACTGCAAAGTTGCTGTGACACCATCAGAAACCAATCAAAAATTGGATTCTGACTCTGATGGTGATTCTGTTGATTCTACAACCTTCAAACAGTTGGTTGGCTCTCTAAGGTATTTATGTAATACTAGACCTGACATTTGTTATGCAGTTGGATTGGTCAGCAGATTCATGAGTACTCCCAAGTGGTCTCATTTCCAAGCTGCTGTCAGAATTCTGAGATATATTAAGGGAACTCTGAAATATGGAGTGCTGTTTCCTTCTGAAAGAAAGACAAAGTCAGAGTTAGTAAGTTATTCTGATTCTGACTGGTGCGGAGACAGAGTGGACAGGAGAAGTACCTCTGGATACTTGTTTAAATTTCTGGGAGGTCCCATTTCCTGGAGTTCCAAGAAACAGCCTGTTGTAGCTCTGTCAACATGTGAAGCTGAGTATATCGCAGGTGTTGTAGCTGCTTGTCAAGCAGTTTGGCTTCTGAATCTCCTGCATGATTTAAAGGTTGAGGTTGAGGAACCTCGGAAGCTGATGATTGATAATAAGTCTGCAATTGATCTTGCCAAGAATCCAGTGCTACATGGAAGAAGCAAGCACAATTGAGACGAAGTATCACTTTCTCAGAAATCAAGTTCAGAAAGGAGTGTTAGAAGTTCTGCACTGTAGCACTCAGAAACAGCTTGCAGATCTTCTGACGAAGGCAGTTAAAACAGATCAATTTCTTTGCTTAAGAGATGAAATTGGTGTTGTTAGCTTCTGATAGATTATCTAAATTAAGGGATGGTATTGGAAATGTAATTTATTTAATGTCCACAATTCCCAATACTTACTCTTTATTAGGGTCTTTTAGCATTTTCTATTTCTAATATAAATATGCTACCTAGACTATCAATATTGTATCCAAAAAATGCATTTCTCTATTTGAATACTAAGAAGTAGTCCTCTTTGTTATCATTCATTATTCATTTTTTATCTCTCCTTCCATTACCTTGCACCAACAACTTTGATCTCCATAAGTTAGGAACTTTAGGTTATTTTAAGAAAGAGAAAAGTGAAACGAATAAACAAGTTAAATAATCCAAAAGGAAAATTTTAATTAAGTTATTTTATGAAAGAGAAAAAGAATAAACCAAATTAAAAAATTCAAAAGTGAAAATTAATTATTCAATAGTACACTATTTTGATTTTTAAAAAGTTGAATGTATTGTTCTTAACATGAATATTCCACGAAGCATTTTATCTAGTACTCCTTAGGAGAGAAATGGACAAAGGCACCATTTCTTCAGCACCACAAAGGTACCAAAACCCAATCCTCCCTCCCCTCCCCTCCCCAAGCTTTCCAAAGATCCCAATCCTTCAACTTAAAACTTTTATATAATATCTCATTCTTTATACATTAATATTTCTTAAATTGTGGAAAGATTGTTTTGGTATCAACACGATATTTGTGTACTACATGTCAAGCATTCAGCTTCAGTTTAGATGGTAATATTTTTGGATCCCTGAAATAATGTACCAAACTGTTCAGTGTTTGTAAAAAAAATGGTTCTCGGTGTTTTAATAATTGTTTGATAATTCACTTTAGTCGAAACATTACAATTCGACTTGATTAGGAGAATTTTGGTACACAAGAAATTTAAAGAATCCAAACCCTTAACATGACTAATATGGATTATATGCTTCAATCTTTCAGAAATTAATAAGCGTCAGCTTTAACAAGTAAAACATGCGAAAAAGGTCATTCATAGAGAGTACCACACACACAAACAAAACACACGGTCAAAGATACTAGTTCTTAAAATACTAGTTTTCAAACTTCCTCTCCCTCCTCCTGAACCTCTTCCTCATCTTCATAGTCATACCCCTCTTCATCTGCAGTAGCGTCTTGGTACTGCTGGTACTCAGAAACAAGATCATTCATGTTACTCTCTGCTTCAGTAAACTCCATCTCATCCATACCCTCTCCAGTGTACCAATGCAAGAAAGCTTTTCTACGGAACATAGCTGTGAATTGCTCACTCACCCTCCTAAACATCTCTTGAATAGATGTTGAGTTACCAATGAACGTAGAAGCCATTTTAAGACCAGTTGGAGGGATATCACAGACGGTTGATTTCACATTGTTGGGAATCCATTCAACAAAGTATGATGAATTCTTGTTCTGGACATTGATCATCTGCTCATCAACCTCCTTCGTGCTCATCTTACCACGGAACATGGCAGATGCTGTCAAATAACGACCATGGCGAGGATCAGCAGCGCACATCATGTTCTTGGAATCCCACATCTGTTGGGTCAGCTCAGGTACAGTGAGAGCTCTGTACTGCTGTGAGCCACGGGAAGTGAGTGGGGCAAAACCCACCATAAAGAAATGCAAACGAGGGAAAGGAATTAGGTTCACTGCCAGTTTGCGAAGATCTGAGTTCAATTGACCAGGGAATCGAAGACAACATGTAACACCACTCATTGTGGCTGAAATTAAATGGTTTAAATCTCCAACTGCAACAAAACAATAAAATTCCCAAATTCAGATTACACAGATTATACACACATATAAATAAACTACATCAGAAAACAATGCAGCAGAAACATAGGATGATAGTGAACTCACAGCTTGGAGTGGTGAGTTTAAGGGTGCGGAAGCAAATGTCATAGAGAGCTTCATTATCCAAAACCATACATTCATCGGCGTTCTCAACAAGTTGGTGGACTGAAAGTGTAGCGTTATAAGGTTCAACAACTGTATCAGATACCTTAGGAGATGGGAAAACGGAGAAAGTAAGCATCATTCGATCAGGGTATTCTTCTCTGATCTTGGAAATCAAAAGTGTACCCATTCCAGAACCAGTTCCACCACCAAGGGAGTGGCAAACCTGAAACCCTGAAGATTCCAAAACCGTGTAAGCACCCAAAATTCAAGTAAACAAAACAGAGGATAACACCAATTAAAATTTAAATGCATACACCTCCTAGTTATATCACAACTACTATATCTTCAGCAAGAAACTAATCTATTACATCGCATGCAGAAATCCAATCATGTTCTCACATACTAATATAGAATTGCAAGTAATTCAAACACACTGAAAAGTTATATCAGACACCAGGAACACAACATGACAGTTACACTTCGACACAACAAAGCCGATAATTATTTGAAAAAAAATGAATAAATTAAACCTAATCATAAGTGCATAGGATCAACACACGCTTTTTTCCAGAGGGGCGGAGCTTATTACCATAACAATTCAAATGAAAAATAAGCCTAAATACACATATATTTCTATATCGAGATTACATATTCTATAATTAAGCCTCATTCATAATTAGCAATAAAATAATTTCAAAAATAACACACTGAATAGTTACGTAAACACAATTATGAAAATTATCAGTAACTAAAATAGTAATTGAAAAAGGTACTGTGGAAGAATCAAGCAATATTACAACGGAAAACTGATTAGAAAATTATCAAATTATGAAAAACATAAACCACAAAATTAGGAAAGAAAAAATTAACCTAAACTATCAAAATCAGCTGTAAACAGAAATTGGAAGAACGAATACCTTGAAGACAGTCACAATTTTCTGCCTCCTTCCTCACAACATCAAGGACCGAGTCAATCAACTCAGCTCCCTCAGTATAGTGACCTTTTGCCCAGTTATTTCCGGCACCGGACTGTCCAAAAACGAAATTATCCGGCCGGAAAATCTGTCCGTACGGACCAGATCTGACACTGTCCATAGTCCCAGGCTCCAGATCCATGAGCACAGCTCGAGGTACGAATCTTCCACAACTCGCTTCATTGTAGTACACGTTAACTCGCTCGAGTTGCATTTCAGTGTTCCCTTGGTACCTTCCGGTGGAGTCGATCCCGTGCTCCGCGCACACAACCTCCCAAAACTTGGCTCCGATTTGGTTCCCGCATTGTCCTCCCTGGATGTGAAGAATCTCACGCATCTTGAGTACTGAGTTCTGAGTTGGAAGAACGAGTTTTAGAGAGTGAAAGTGACTGAAGAAAGTTCTAGAGCGAGAAATGAAAAGATGAAGGAGTAATGTTTAGCTTGTTCTATGCGCTATATGATCGAAGAAGGAAGAGATTTATAGCGGGTATGTGACGGCGTTAGTTGGGGCTCGGTAATTTAGACAGTCCCGTTAGATTTAAGTGGGAATTTTGAAAAGTTAACGGAAATTTTGAATTTGATAAAGAAGCTTTGATCCTGTGCAGTCTTGCTTATTTGATCTTGGTATGGGAATTTACACGTGGACGGTTTCGATTTGATTTTCGGAATGATAAAACGGTTACGCTGGTTATTGGCGAGTGAAGAAGACGCGCTTTTGAATTTGCATGTGAGAAGCTTGCTTTAAGTGGTTTTTTTATCCCTCGGGACACATAGCACGTGGAAAGCTAGCTGCACGTGATTGCGGGCTGGATCATATCATGTGATGAAAGCTGCACTTCTATTCTACTATGCTTCTAGCAAAAGCAACGTGACTATGGACTCTTCACTCGCTAATTTTAGGAGTGGTATATACTCTAGTTTAAGTTTAAGTCCACCTTGCAAAAGTAGGCTAAACCACGCGACAAAATAGGATCGACATAGTTGAAGGTACAGATTTAAAATATTAATTTGTGCTGGAAAAAAATGTTTGGCAGATATATCAGAGGATGTCAATGAACATTACATTTTTTAAGGTTAAAAAGTAATAAATGGACATATTATCTTATTTAAGTTCATCATGTAAAAGCCAGTAAAAACATATGGCAGGCAAGACGAATATATCTGAAGATACAGACTTGAAATATTAATTTGTCTTATAAATGTTAGACGGATCAGATTCGTTTTATTATCCCTAACAAATTTTTTGTATTTACTTACAATATTTTTGTCAACAAACATATAATATTTTAAATTAAATATTAATATAAATAAAAAATCATATTCAAATTTATATTGTTTGATTTTGATCCAACAAATATTCAGAACGCAGGGAATTATGACAGCAATAAATTTCACGACTATGCTTTCATGTGGTAGTAAGATAGATCCAATTTTCTTTTCTGATATTTGTCAACTATAATTTATTTATAATACTTAAACTGCTTAAGAAGTTAAATATAAGGACAAATGTGTTAGAATGATTATCTTTCTGCATGGTAGACAAGTAACTACTAAAACGGTCCCTAAAATGAACCTTATACGTATATTTGGATTTTGGACATATTTTTATATAATGTCCTTGTTTTCTTTGAGGCAGGTCCATCAAAATGGCAGTTAGTGCACTCAATTTTCCACCCTGGTTTGCAAACTTTTCTTTCACTCCAGCCAAAGATTGATGGTGGAACCCATTAAAAAGGAAATCCAGAAAACATTGTAGGGTCCTTTCTTCAATGGACAAGTATAGAAGCAAAGAAGTCATATTCCAATTAAGAGCAGAGGTATGGATCACAAAAACCCTTCATGACAAAGTTATCATATTCTTTCATTGTTTTCTTTATGGATCCAATGCCCAACTATAAAATAATCATCATTATAAAATGAATTGGTGTACTTTAAGTCATTCTTTATGCTACTAAGTGCCTTAGTTAAGCCTTCATTGTTATAATTCATATTAGTAATGACTTTATAATTATATTTTGCAAGGTACGTGTCCAAGTGAATGCAGAGACTGGTAAATGAATATGAAATCTAGGTGTACTTTTTCATCAACAAACAAAAAAGTATGCCATATATACTTAAATAACAAGCAATGTTGTGGGATCTCCAAGCATAGCATATATGACGACTCCTTAATTTGCAAACAACTTTTATGAATGGATATAATCACATCTTGCCACAAATTATTGTTGGGATATATTTTTTTTTAAACTGTTGAGATTTTTTAAATAATTTGTTGGTTAGTTTTATTAAGTGTTCTGGATCGGTTAGAAGGTCCAACAACTGCAACATAGAGATCACATTGATCCAATGCATAACTCGTGGAGCAGATATGTTATCTTATTCTAGAGTGTAAGTGATCTAAATCTGAGATCCATCAGATGAATCTCTATATTCCACGCATAAAGATCAATAATTTGTTATAACTGTCCTACTATATAAGAACGAAAACGCGTCATTGAAACAACCGATTGAACAGTTATCTCAGAAAAGGAAAGGTGGACATCGAGTAAACTGAGAAGGGTGAAGTCAAGGTCGAAAGAAACAAAATGAAAATATTGATATTAGTTATAGAAGATGTATATAAAATTTATTCAATTTAAATATAGAAAGAATCAAAATGAGAACTTGACAATTAATTTGTAAATACAACTTACAAGCAACCACTCTCCCTAAGACATGCTTCTTTGTTAGATCACACAACCTAACTTAATTTTAAACACTCTTGATATAATATCCAGACAATCATGAGGTTGCAGATTAACTTTGTTAAGTAACCTTTGAATTTCTGGCCTATTTGAATTGCAAGCAAAAGTGATAAAAAAGTTCGAAAAATCAATACGGCTGCATATTGCCATCCCATCAAAATACATATATTCCATGTATCTCCGACTTTCAACATAGGTTGACGGTAAAATTACTATTTTACCATTGTTTGCCCCTTGAGTGTTTGATTGCTGATTGTAACACCCCATCTCTACCCGATGAATAATATTAAAAATCAGAGTTCAATATAAATAGGATGCTACATTTACAACTTAAAATCAAACTTCATTTAAACGCATGTGAAACAGATACATAACACTTAATTCGGATGAACCGATAACAACCTAATTTATTCTTTAGAATCAAACAACTTTTTATTCATAAGTAGCAGAATCTACATACTCAACTTCAATTCTCTTAACATATTTTATTCAACTAAAACAACTTCAAGACAACAATTATTTCATGTAATCAACTTAAAAGTTCATCAACTGAAATAAATATCAACAACTAAACATCAAGTGTTCATCCCCCGAGTTCTACGTATCAGAGCGACGACACTGACTCAAACTGATGAAGGTAACAACTATCCTTCTTGATTACCTGCATGTCATCAACAGAGGGCAACATTCAAACAGAAGGGATGAGATATCTAACGATATAATAGAATGTATGATAATTAATATATTAGAATCAGATCAAATAAAATCACCACATCACAACTTATACACAACAACTATTACAACAAAGCATCAACATAAAATAACAACTATTTCATCATTACAACAACTCAATTATGCAACACGAAATGTGACTCGTATAATGCATATGCATGTGGTACCAATGAAGCATAACTCCCAACATAAAAATGGAGCAGAACTCCCAACTTAAAAACGGAGCAAAACTCCCAGCTTAATAATTGTCAATTAATAGAAGCATCAACAAAACATAAGCCTTATTCGCAGTTTGCAAATCCAGGCCATCATAGAGTATGCAAATGTATATGACTCAATGAATACACTATCACATACTCACAACAATCATCATCCATCGCAAGGCATAAGCCCACATCACTATTATTACCAGTAAATAGAGGTAATTCATCATCATTTAAAATTCCCTGCAACTTCGTATTACCAACAAGAATTTACAGCAACTTAACAACAATTTAACCCTGGCCATACGCTTACAACTTTGCAATAATTCAACATTGACCTTAGGCCTACAACTTGATATTTCAACAACAACAATCAGCGCAATATTGGCATAAGCCTACAACTTAGTACGTCACTACAACAATAACATATCAACAATAGTAATTTGACAACAACATCAACAAAAAAACAAATTTGACCATAAGCCTAACAATTCAATACCACCTGCAATTCATATTTTTCAGCAACGTATACAATACACCGCATCAACAAAAATATACTACAAACGCTCCACGAATTTGTTCGGACAATTCGACTATTTCCGGTTAATTAATCTTTCGCTAAATTACCAATATTTTCTACTCTGCACTACTCTTATTAAGTCTATACAGTTACTGCTAGTATAGGTACTACCTGTTACTAATATCTCACTGTCAAACTAGTATCATTACTCTCTGTTATTAAAAATACTACTTGTTACCAACATACACTACATGTTATCCACTTAATAAATTACTATTAGTTACTACATTGATCTTCTGTCAATTTATTCTACTAATTACTTCTATCGGTAATTCTCTGCTAAATTATTACATCTGTTATTAATATACTACTCTGCTAAATTAATTGAGCCATCCTCTGCTACTTAGCATCTTTGTGCAAATTTAATTTCTGGAATACCATTGTTATTAACTCTGCTGCTACTGCTACTTTAGATACCAACTAAGTGTTAATCTAACAATTACCTCTGCTAGGTACCAACAAATCTACTACTTGGTTTAAATTAATCTAATGGGATACTACTATAATTAATTAAGCTAATTCTGCAACTTATTAAAACCATCTCTTCTAAATATTGATTTCCAAAAATTAATCCTACTTGTAACTCTGTTATATACTACTACCAAAAATGTCTCTACTAATTCATACTAATACTACTACATGAAGGCTCCACTACAATAGCAAGAAACAAAACAAACAAAATAAAATTGAGACATCATGTGCCCCTCGGCACCATTGTCCTGCCGATCGGCATGCTTCCCCTTTAAACATTGTGTCGGTCGGCACCCATGTCATGCCCCTCGGCATGTATGTTTTCCAGCCTCCCATTCTGTTACTGATTACTAACGTATAATTTTCAGTTTCAGGCCAACCACATAGCAACGTAACAACTATATCAACATATAATAATTTCCAACAACAACTATATCAACATATAATAATTTCCAACAACAAATTCATCGTTTAATTCACTGAAAATTCCTCGTAAAATCTGATTGTGGTAACACCAACTCATAATAATAACAATTACACATACAACAATATTCCCACAACGATAATTTTATACAGACCAATTCCTGCATAATATTTATCATTTACC